ATGATAGCAAAAAGACAACCAGGACCACCTGTGTGAGAGTGTTAGTGCCAGAATGAAGATGCTCGCTGGAGAGAACAAAGCTCTCCTGAGGAAGACAAGCGGAGTGAAGACTCGGCTCCTGCTAGATACACACAGCTTTGCGTTTGCTGCTATGAAGATATTTTCTCCAGTCGATCAGGTTCAAAGGAATTCTTTCGCTGTGTAAGCTGTGGGTGTTTACCATGTTCTTTGTTTCAAGATGGTGATGGAATACTGGCAAAGGATCTAAAGGCACTGCATCCTTCCAGCTTCATACAATAACCTCTAACTTCCTCCATGAAGCAGAGGGAGAACCTCTGAAAGCATCAGACCAAGAAAATTACGCACGGCTGACAACCCAGGAGATCATTTCTAAAGTATGCTTGGCTCTAAAGCTTTCTTACAGTTACAGACCAAGCACCCCACAATTACACCCTTCATCCCATGTCTTGCATGGCTTCAGTTCAAAGGAGGAACCGCTATTTCCTTCTATCCCTTTTTACCTCTCTTTCATAGAGATGCCCTGAGCCTTTATAACCATATAACTATAAGCTTTGTCAGGCAAACTGTCTACAAACCACCTTAATGCCATGATATGGTGAACCTCGTGATTTTAATTCATCCCCTACCAGTAATTCCCATGTCAACAAAGTCAAAAGGATATTTTAGTTTAATTCAACAATCACAGTGTAACCCATGAACTCTGACAATGACACCACCCTTGAAAGTCACTTATAAGTGTTTAAACTTATGCCTCCCCAGGTACCATAGAGAAAGCCAAAATCAATGCATGCCTATTGCCAGTGTATTACATAGTAGTAAAAATAAATTACTAAATAATCCTATCATGTATCACTATAAAATGATAAAATTTTCATCTTTGTATGGCTCCTAGAGAGCTCATCCAATCTCCTACCCAATGCCAGACTCATGTTTTCAGTGTCTGAAATAGTAATGCCATCTCTGTTTAAACACCACGGGTGAGAGATAGCACACGACATGACAGTTCATTCCACTAATTGACAGCTACACATGAGACAGCCTGGAGATCAGGGAGCTAAGAATCAATGCATTTGCATGTAAACCTATCAGTATACCAGAAAAATACAGTTAGAAAAAGGATCCTATATAATAAAGGGGTGATATGCAAATTGACCATCACGCCCTCACACAAGATGGCCGCCCCCGTGTGGTCAAAGATGGCCGCCACAAGATGGCCAGCAGGGAAGGGCAGTTGTGGATGATCAGGCCAGCAGGGGAGGGCAGTTGGGGGCGACCGGACTGGCAGGGGAGGGCAGTTGGGGGCAATCAGGCCAGCAGGGAAGCAGTTAGGCTGGCAGAGGAGTGGTTAGAGGGTGATCAGGCTGGCAGGCAGAAGCGGTTAGGGGCAATCAGGCAGGCAGGCAGGTGAGCAGTTGGGAGCCAGCAGTCCCGGATTGTGAGAGGGATGTCCAACTGTGGGATCGGGCCTAAAACAGCAGTTGGATATCCCCCAAGGAGTCCCAGATTGGAGAGGGTGCAGGCTGGGCTGAGGGACACCTCCTCCCCGCCCCCCGGGCACGAATTTCATGCACCAGGCCTCTAGTAATTTAATAATAGGCATCCTTTCAATACTAAGCTTTTCTAAAATGTTTAAAGCAAAATTCTGTTTACCAAAACTGATATACCAATATTAAGCAAGTTAACAGGTAAGGTATGTTTCAGGCCAAAGAACATGTTGGTTTTTCCCACTGTATCACTTGACCTGAAACAGAACTTTCTCAGTACCCTTAAGTCAAAACTCTATCATTTGTGTCTTCCATCAAAGTCCCAAGAGCATCACTCTATTTCCTTCTCCCACCACATCTGCTCTGCACATTGGACTCACATGGCTAAACATCTCTTCTATTATCTTGATCTACCCACAATCCAAAAAGAGTAGCAATGGCAACTAATAAACATAAGGTAATAAAGATATATAGAAATAGTGCATGATTGTGATTAGAACAACAGTGCTGTAATCTGGTTGGGTTTATAGATATGAAGCTTAAGATAATGGAGGAATGTTCAGTGTCCAGGTATGAGATCTAGAACAAATATCAGTTTGAGTCATCAGTAGATATGAGTTAAAAATATGACACAGATCAATTTTCTAAGGAAAAGAGAAATGAAGGGCAGCAGTTAAAATACCCACTTATACTCCCTCCAGTACTTCTGCCTCGGATATTGTCTTTTGATTTTCTAATTTTCCCCCAATGAATACTCTTAACATAGTTTCTGTAATGCCAAGAATCAAGTCGCACATACCTTCTATAGTGCTGGAATCATGGAAGATACTTGACAAAATCATTTTGGCTGGTTATAATAATAACCTAAAAATATTTCTGAAAAACCTAGTAACAGTGGACTTCACTGATGCATAACACATTCCCTGGACAATGGAGCCCACCTCCTAAGGGATCATGGCTTAACAATGCCTCTTTGAGGCCAACACCAGAGGATGTTCTTCATACTAAATTCATTCATTCAATCAATGAAAACTATTTAAAAGCCACCACGTAGCCCTGGCCAGTGTGCTTCATGGTAAGAACATATGCCCACACACTGATGGGGTCTTGGGTTCGATTCCCAGTCAAGGGCACACACCTGAGCTGCAAGTTTGATACCTGGCCCAAGTTTGGGGCACTTACAGGAGGCAACTATTCGATGTGTCTCTCTCCCATTGATGTTTCTCTTTCTCTTCTCTCTCTCTCTCTCTCTCTCTCTCTCTCTCTCTCTCTCTCTCTCTCTCCATCTCCCCCCCCTCCCATTCTCTCTAAAATTCAATGGAAAAAATATCCCCAGGTGAGGATTAACACAATCAATCAATAAAATCCACCATGTACATAATACTGTGCTAAGATGCACCTCTTGGGAGATATAAAGCTAAATGAGACAAGGTCCTCACTCTTATAGATCTTACATTAGTATAATCATCTTGTGCAAGGTCAAAGACAAATGTGTTCTTTGAATTATTTTAGGTTACTCCGCTGTATCTGCTATGATTTTATAGTGCTCTTTCAACTATGGCAAACAGTCTAGACTTCTTAAACTAGTAACAATATGGTTTGAGTCTAATTGCTACTTCATGTCTGTAGATGGAACTTCACATTATTTAAGTTCTCCATCATCAACTTCATTCATACTCTGCAACTGTTAGTAAACACTCACTAAATCTTTTATGCACCTAAGCCCTCTAATCAAGTCATCCTGTCCCTCCCAGTGGTCCATATAAGGCTTACCACTTGGTCTTTTTTCTAGACATACCAGTGCTATTTCCCTGCCTAAAGTTCTCCTTCTCCCCATCTCACACCCCAACCCCCACCACCAACACACACACACACACCAAATTATCCAGCCTCCACCAATTTAACATTTAGGTTTAAGTTTTCCTTTGTTACTCAATAAATGTTTCATGAATTTTTTTTTCTGTCTCTATACTAAAATATACCAGTAAGCTCTTTGAGGTTAATCCGTGTGTGTGTGTGTGTGTGTGTGTGTGTGTGTGTGTGTGAGAGAGAGAGAGAGAGAGAGAGAGAGAGAGAGAGAGAGAGAGTTTTTACTAGCACCATTTTATGCAATTTTGTGCACACAGAATATATGCAAATAATTAAAACACTTCTTAGTATTTATAGAATTCCATAGAATAACTTATACACTTGGCCCATTGACAAATGCTTTTAGATCATAACATTACTTACTAGGCCAACATAAATTCATCCTACTCATAACTCAACTCTTCAGGGAAGAGTCCATTTTGATGGAGGATGAAGGGTGATAGGAGCCCATCTTTTAGAATATTAATATAATTATTATCAATACTGTGTTACTGTTCTTTAAAATTTAAGGCAACATTACTAACAAAAATTAGAGAAAAGAACGAGTTATGAGTTATTAATTCTGGGATAAAAAAAAGATATAATATCAAAGTTATCGAAGCTAGTAATATCTTGCCCTTCTTCTGCTGACATGTAATAATCAGACCAGGCCCTTTCCCCACAGTAGGGGTGATGAGCTCATACAGAGAGTGCAAGTTTTTGCCTGAGACATCACAAGACCCTCATGGCAATAGAACACCCATCTTGGGCTCATTAGGATGATGCTATGTTAGACAGAACTACCACCAACCATATCAGGATTCAAAGTATCAAACAGCATAAGGAATACAGGGTTTGGAAAAAAGTAATTAAAATGATCAAAAATAAATAGGGCAAAAGAAGTAAAAACAGCATAGCCTGTATCAGAAGGCAGGGCAAAGAGGCCAAAGGAAACTCACCCCAAAAGCAAGCCAGAGGAACCGTCTTGTGCTGGAGAGAGAGAACCATTGAAAACAACCGTCATGTCTCTAATTTTTATGATTAATGGATGGAATCTCGGGGTCTCTAGAACCTTATACACACACACACACACACACACACACACAGCCACTGTGCACACGCATTAAGTTGAAACTATATTCGCTCATCACCGAGGGGTCCCATCAGACTGAAGTGAAACCAGGAGCTCCTTTTTACAACATGTTTCATGGTCTTAAACAGTCTTATGGCTGTTGTCTTACGGCTGTTTTAAATTCTGAGGACACATTATAATGGGAAGAAAGGAGAAGTCGGGGAGGGGACAATTAATGAATTGGGCTATTGGAGGCTGTTTGAGAATCATCTAGTGTCACCCTTGCCTTTTTCCTACAAAATAAAGCTCAAGGTAGGAAGGATACACGGGTTGAAGAAGTGGAAACTGTTATGGTAGAAAAACAAAGGTGGATCTGCTAAATGCAAATGAATTTAGAGGAAATGTGAGTTTTGTTTCCTGGCCATCAAAAATAGTTTGGAGGATTTGTGCCAAAATTCAAAATAAAAGCATGCTCCTCTCTCCCCGCACCCCACAGAGTTGCCTTTGAAGTCACATGTGCTCCACAGGGCACAGAAACAACAAGCAGGCCCTCCTTAAATGCTATCACATATGATTCAGCATGAGACAGTGTGCTTTAAGCACTTATAAACAGTCATTCTCAGCTCCTTCTCTTTGGATATGATGAGCTCTAGTCGTATGCCCTGGAATTTAAATCCATGCTTCCCTCTGGCTATGCCTTCTGGTCCCAGGGACAGGCTCAGGGACTTGGCCCACTTGCCTGGACCTGGCTCAGGCGCTGCCAGGATGGCCGCTCCCACTCCTGGCTTTTAGGGACTGGTGCTGACTCTACAGCCACCTGGCAAGTCTTGGCCAGATTTGCAGCCTTCTGCACTTCCCTGAACAGCTCACTGGGGGGCCTCAGGCCCTCCTTCACTCCCTGTTCTGCCTCACCAGGGCTATGGGATGAAATGCAGCTATCCATACTTCCTACCTGGTGCCCCATATAAAAGGTGAGAAAAATAGCACATTTGGAATAACAACAACCATAATGCTGGTATATTTTGAAACCAACCCATATTCAAAATCGAGGACTTCCTTGGTAAGACTCATGACACAGTATAGAAATGTTGCTAGCGTTTGTTTATTTTCTATTTAGCTACCTGACTTAGAGTGTAGAAGTACCCAAAACCACAATGGCACTCGTCAGAGGTAAAGAAACAAAAATACTTCATATTTTCCAATCATTAATTCACCTAACAGGGTAGTATCAACAAGACATACAAGCCAATTAGAATGAGCCTCCACTGGCCAGAGATGGGACAACTGGAATATCAAAAAGGATGACTGATTCAAACATATCAAATCTACAAAGTCCATGGATTTATAGTGGGTTGATAAGATGTCCTTCCACCTCCACCCCTAAAGCAGTAGGGAACAGCTCATGGTGAGCACCACTAGAAGTTGCTAAGACCCCAATTCATTATTCTGAAAATTGATAAATAAATGTAAGACAAAAGAACATACACTGCTTTTCCTTTTCAAATTTATTTCGGGGTGACCAAATAATTGATGATGGACAGTTCATCCACATAAAAGAATCCCAACGAATAAATGCAGAAATAATGATGGAATTAGAAAATTTCCATCTTGCAATTCCTAAGTAAGATCAGTAGTTGCAAAAACCATTAAATGAAAGGTGCATTGGGAACTTTATAAAGCATGGATCAGACACACAGCTAAATTTTCTCATCAATCTTAACATCACTGAAACTGGTCAATCAGATATTATGTCCTTCCTAAGATGATGCAATAGGAGGTGTGCAGTACCACCTATGAAGTGGTCTTGCCAGGAAAATATAAATAAAAGTTGAACCAGAATCTAATGAGGCCTCTTGCTCTATGAGTGTACAGCAAATACAGGAATAGAGGCACAAGTTAAATGACAATACAAAGAAGCAATCAGCCAAACCCAAAATGTGGGGCAACCTATAGGGTAAATAACCAGATTTCTCTAACAAATAAAGGAACTCAAAAAGGGGGAGAGAGGTGCAATCATAGATGTAAAAATACTTACTAGATAAAACAGCCAAGCCAATGAATATACTTTGTTTGGTTCCTAATTTGACCAACTATTTTAAAAAACATCCTTGTTAGAGAATGAATGTGACTATGAACTGTGTGTCAGAGACAAAAATAATCATCACAAGAAAAAAAAAGTGCAACTATGTGTGGTGGTTACTAAACTTATTGTGGTGATCGTTGTGCTATATATATGTATATCAAATCATTCTTGTTGCATACCTGAAACTAATACAATGCTGTAGTCAACTCTATCTCAATGTTTTTAAAAAGCTGGTCCTCAAAGTCCCACTTGACACACACACACCCAATCTTTAATGAACAACATGAAAGGAGGATATGCTGGGATTAAGGTTGATGTTGGGTTGAGCCCAATATCAGATGAGCCCCATGCATATTAACTAGAAACAAAGTTTCCAAAACAATGACAGCATGTATCCTCCACAGTTAGGTCTCAGTGGGCTGTAGGGCTGTGCTCTGCTCACTATGAGGATTCTCTCTGTCAAAATAAATAAATAAGAAGTAACAAAATCAAACTAAACACACCACACACACACACACACACACACACACACACACAGCACAAAACTAGTAAGGGAAGTGTGGAGAGGGTCAACATTGCAAAATGTTGTTGTTTTGTAATACATTTGGAACCTCTGGAGTGTTTGACAGGTCATGACCTTGAGATTGAAACAGAAGTGCCATCTTTTTTTTCTCCCCACTGAACCAGTCATCTCTTCCAACTGCTAAGTTTGAGACAGGGAGTGAGAAGCAGAAAAAGAGAAAAAAAGGAAGCTCATTTGGGAGGAGCTGGATCCCAGTTTCCCTTGGTTCTCAAAATGAAGTTGGTAAATTTCCTGCTTTTGTATTTTTTTGAATGGTTAATACTAACTTTGTTATCTACTTTTAGAAATAGCTTTCTTTTTTGTTTGTTTGGGGGTTTTTTGTATTTACAAACTGCGATATAATTTCATTACCATAAAATTTACCTTTTCAAATTCAGTGGGTTTTAGTATATTCTCATAGTTGTACAATCATCACCAGTATATAATTCCAGAACATTCTCATCACCCCAAAGAGAAACCCTGCTCCCATTAAGAGTCACTCTCCATTCTCCCCTTTTCCATAAAGCCCATGGCAAGTACCAGTCTGTCTCTACGAACTTGCCTTGTCCTGGACATCCTATATAATAAAAGCCTAGGTGGCGTCGCACGATGCCACCACAAGATGGCCACTACAAGATGGCCAGCAGGGGACAGCAGTTGTGGGTGATCAGGCCGGCAGGGGAGGGCAGTTGGGGGTGAACAGGCCAGCAGGGAAAGGCAGTTGGGGGGGACCAGGCCAGCAGGGGAGGGCAGTTGTGGGCAATCGGGCCAGCAGGGGAGGGCAGTTGGGGGCAAGATCAGGCCGGCAGGGGAGGGCAGTTGGGGATGACCAGGCTGGCAAGGGAGGGCAGCTAGGGGCGACCAGGCCTGCAGGGGAGCAGTTAGGTGTCAATCAGGCCGGCAGAGGAGTGGTTAGGGGCAATCAGGCCAGCAGGGAGGGCAGTTGGGGGCAATCAGGCAGGCAGGCAGGTGAGCGGTTAGGAGCCAGTAGTCCTGGATTGTGAGAGGGATCCTAGATTGGACAGGGTACAGGCCAGGCTGAAGGACACCCCCCACCCCCTGCATAAATTTTGTGCACTGGGCCTCTAGTTTCATATAAATGGTCTTTGGTGTCTGGTTTCTTTCGTGTAGCTTAATGTTTACAAGGCTCATCATGTTATATCATGCATCAGTACTTCATTTCTGTTTAGGGCTGAATAATGTTCCACTGTGCAGATATTTTGTTAGCCATTCACCAGCTGCTGGACATTTCCACTTTTTGGTGGATTCATTTTTTTTGATGGACTGTTTCCACTTTTTTGGCTATTATGAATAATGCTGCTATGAACATTCACATACAAGTTCACATACAATTGATGCAAACTTTCAATTCTCTTGAATATATACCAAGGAGTAGGACTGTTGGATCATATGGTAACTCTACGTTTAACTTTTTAAGGAACTGTCAGACTGTTTTCCAACTGTCAGACCACTTTACTAGCCCACCAGCAACGTTTGGGGGTTCTAACTAATTTCTCTGCATCCTCACCAACACTTGTTATTGTCCATCTTTTTTACCATGTAAATTTCAGTGGGTATAAAGTGGTATCTCATTGGGGTTTTAATTTGCATTTCCCTAAAGACTCTTGTCATATGATTATTGGCCCTTTGTATGTCTTCTTTGGAGAAATGTCTTTTCAAAACTTTTGCCCGCTTTTAATGGGGTTATTTGTCTTTTAAATATTGAGTTGTAACAGTTCTTTACATGTTGGATACAAGTCTTTTATGTGATTTGCAAATAGTTTCTCACATTTTGTGGATTGTTTTTTTACATTTTGAGAATGTCCTTTGAAGCACAAAAGTTTTTAAGTTTTGATGGAGTTCAATTTCTTTTTTCTTCTGTTGCTTATGCTTTTAGTGTCATAGAATATAGAGCAGTGATGGCAAACCTATGACACGCGTGTCAGAGGTGACACGCGAACTCATTTTTTTGGTTGATTTTTCTTTGTTAAATGGCATTTAAATATATAAAATAAATATCAAAAATATAAGTCTCTGTTTTACTATGGTTGCAAATTACCAAAAATTTCTATATGTGACACGGCACCAGAGTTAAGTTAGGGTTTTTCAAAATGCTGACACGCCGAGCTCAAAAGGTTTGCCATCACTGATATAGAGCCACCACCTAACCCAAGGTCACAAAGATTTATGCCTCTTTTCTTCTAAGAGTTTTATAACTTTTAGCTTTTATATTTGCGTCCTTGATCCATTTTGAGTTAATAATTTCATATGATATGAAATAGGAGTTCTACTTCAATCTTTCACCAGCTTTCTTTTTGTGACTTTTTTTTTTTTTTTTAGTTTCCTGAAACCAATCTTAATTTTTTTTTTATTGCTTAAAGTATTACAAAGGGTATTACATATGTGTCCTTTTTTTCCTTCCCCGCCCTTGACAATCCCCTGGCCCCCCCTACCCCCCAGTGTCTTATGTCCATTGGTTATGCTTATATGCATGCATACAAGTCCTTCAGTTGATCTTTGGCTCAGTGGATAGAGCATCGGCCTGAGAACCGAAGGGTCCCAGGTTCGATTCTGGCCAAGGGCATGTACCTCGGTTGCGGGCACATCCCCAGTAGAGGGTGTGCAGGAGGCAGCTGATAGATGTTTCTCCTCATCGATGTTTCTAACTCTCTATCCCTCTCCCTTCCTCTCTGTAAAAAATCAATAAAATATATTTTTTTAAAAATCTCTCTCTTTTTGTGACTTTCAATCTGTTTGTGCGACTGCAGCCCTCGCATCATTTACCTAAGTACTGGTCACAGCTTCAAGATAAGAGAAGCAGGCATTCTTTTATTTTAACAAAATGAAATTACTGGGGAGGCAGTACACAGGGCAGTGGTGAAGAGCACAAGTTCTGAAGCTAGAGTCTAACTCAATTCTACTCCTAACAAGGCTGTGTGACTTTGAATCAAGTTATTCTCGGGTCTGTACTCAGATTCTCCTTATCTTAAAATTGGGAGAAAGAGAGAAAAAAACACAGTATCTTCAGAGAGTTGCAAGGATATGAGTCAAAGAACTCAAACATACATGGCCCCTTGTGAGCACCCAGTACACATTAGCTTTACTATAAGTAAAGATCCAATTATATTAATCCTAGGGCTATAGTTTTCAAAGAAATATAGGTCTTAAAATAACAGCAGATGAGCCTGCGTGGGTGACGTGGTTTACCATGACATCTCTGATTTTTCCAGGTGATGTCCTCGTGTCCAGAGCCCCAAGCTAGGAACCACTTGATGTTGATGTTCATCTCTGTCCTGTG